CCCTCCCCCATCTCATGTGCTCTCTCTCATTCTCTCTCTCTCAAATAAATAAATAAAATCTTTAAAAAAAAAAACAACAAAATGGGTATAGAGGTAACATACCTCAACATAAAAAAGACCATATATGAAAAAGCTACAGCTAACATCATACTCAACAGTGAAAAACAGAGCTTTTCCTCTAAGATCAGAGAAAGAGAAGGATTCCCACGCTCACCACTTTTATTCAACATAGTATTAGAAGTCCTAGCCATAGCAATCAGACAAGAAAAAGAAACAAGAAGCTTCCGTATTGGTAAAAAAGTTAAACTATCACTTTTTGAAGATGACCTGATACAACACATAGGAAATCCTAAAGATGCCACCAAAAAATACTAGAAGTAATAAATGAATTAGTAAAGTTGCAGGATACAAAATTAATACCCAGAAGTCGGTGGTATTTCTATACACTAATAATGAAGTAGCAGAAAGAGAAATTAAGAAAATAACGCCATTTGCAGTTGCACCAGAAAGAATAAAATATCTAGGAATAAATTTAACCAAGGAGGTGAAATACCTGTACTCTGAAAGCTATAAAACATTGATGAAAGAAATTGAAGATGACACAAACAAATGGAAAGATACTCCATGCTCATGGATTGGAAGAATTAATATTTTTAAAATGTCCATATTAGCTAAAACAATCTATAGATTCAATGCAATCCCTATCAAAATGCCAACAGCATTTTTCACAAAACCAGAACAAATAATACTAAAATTTGTATGGGACCACAAAAGACCCTAAATAGTCAAAGCAATTCTGAGAAAGAAGAACAAAGTTTGGAAGTATCACAATCCCAGATTTCAAGATATGCTACAAAGCTGTAGTAATCCAAACAGTATGGTACGGACATAAAAATAGACACATAGATCAATGGAACAGACTAGAGATCCCAAAAGTAACCCATGATTATATGGCCAATTAATCTTCAACAAAGGAGGCAAGAATATACAATGGGGAAAGGACAGTCTCTTTAATAGATGGTGCTGGGAAAACTGGACAGCTGCATACAAAAGAATGAAACTGGACCATTGTCTAACACCATACACACAAATAAACACAAAGTGGATTAAAGACCTAAATGTGAGACCTTAAACCATAAAAATCCTAGAAGAGAGCATAGGCAGTAATTTCTCTGACATCAGCCAATGACATTGAACATTTTTCTAGATGTCTCCTGAGGCAAGGGAAACAAAAGCAAAAATAAACTATTGGGACTACATCAAAATAAAAAGCTTTTGCACAGTGAAGGAAACCACCAACAAAACAAAAGGTACTATGGAACGGTAGAGGATATTTGCAAATGATATATCTGATGAGGGGTTAATATCCAAAATATATAAAGAACTTATATACCTCAACACTAAAAAAACGAAGTTCGATTAAAAAATCGGCGGAGAACCTGAAGAGACATTTTTCCAAAGAAGACCTACAAATGGCCAACAGACACATGAAAAGCATTCAACATCACTCATCATCAGGGAAATCAAAACCACAGTGAGAGATCACCTCATACCTGTCAGAATGACTAAAAAAAGAGAAGAAACAGCAAGTGTTAGGATGTGGAGAAAAAGGAACCATTGTGCACTGTTGGTGGGAATGTAAATTGGCGCAGCCACTCTGGAAAACAATATCAAGGTTCCTCATAGAACTATCTTGTGATCCAGTAATTCCACTACTGGGTATTTAACCAAAGAAAATGAAAACACTAATCTGAGAAGATGTATGCATCCCTATGTTTATTGAAGCATTATTTACAGTAACTAAGATATGGAAGCAACCTAAGTGTCCATCAAAAGATGAATGGGTAAGGAAGATGTGATGTGTATGTACACACAGACACACAGGAATATTAGCCATAAAAAAGATGAGATCATAGCATTGTGCCAACATGGATGGACCTAGAGGGTATTATGATAAGTGAAATAAGTCAGGCTGAGAAAGACCAATGATTCCATACAATTTCACAAAACAAATGAATAAATAAACAAAAAGCACAATCAGTCCTATCAATAAGAGAACAAACTGATGGTTGCCAGGTTAGTGGGGGTGGAGAGGCAAAATGGGTGAAGAGGAGTGGGAGATACAGGCTTCTAGTTATGGAACACGTCATGGGAATAAAAGTCACTCTGTAGGGAACATAGTGGTACTGTAATAGTGGGCTATGGGGACAGATGGTAGCTACACTTCTTTCTTTTTAAGATTTTATTTGTCAGAGAGAGCGCAAGCAGGGGGAGCGGCAGGCAGAGGGAGAGGGAGAAGCAGGCTCCCCGCTGAGCAGGGAGCCCCACCCAGGGCTGGATCCCAGGACCCTGGGATCATGACCTGAGCCGAAGGCAGATGCTTAACTGACTGAGCCACCCAGGCATCCCTAGGTACACTTCTGAGCACAGCATAACAGATATGTCGAATCTGTATGTTGTACATGTGAAACATTGTGTGTCAACTATACTCAGATTAAAAAAAATAAAATATCCATTTAAAATGCTTATACAGGGGCACCTGGGTGGCTCAGTCGTTAAGCGTCTGCCTTCAGCTCGGGTCATGGTCCCAGGGTCCTGGGATCAAGTCC